AGCTTCAGGCAATTCCTTCTTCACCTTTATTACATTACCCTCGGCCCACTGATTAGGTGGGCCCACCAGTCGGCCGGACCTAATCAGTGGGCCGAGGGTAATGTAATAAAGGTGAAGAAGGAATTGCCTGAAGCTGCCAAACGCTTCGGTGTTCGTTTAAGCCCTAGTCCGATAGTGTCACAGTGCCCGAAAAGAGAACTTAACAGAAAGTTTGATGAGTTCTCCAGACAAAAGTGCGCGTTTCTGCTGCTTATCCTTTATGATGAGGAGTCCTATTCCGAAATAAAACGTCTGAGTGACCTACAAATGGGCATTCGCACCCAATGTGTATGAAGTCGTACTTTGGGCAAACCAAACGTATTCCCGAACCTGGTGCTCAAGCTCAATGGCAAACTCGGTGGTGTTAATTGGCGAATACCAGGCCTGATTAGAAACAGTGAGGAACTGATAATGGTTTTCGGTGCTGACGTCACTCATCCGGCGCCCACCCAAATTCAGCAAATTCGCAAGTCAATAGCTGCTGTTATCGGCAGTGTGTCGCCGGATCTAATGAGATATGCGGTAGTTGTCCGCCAACAGGCAACGACACAGAAAGGCAATAAGGCATACAATTATCCGGGCAGTACGAATGCTGCGCTGGGAGCTGTGTGGGTTGTGATTCTAAGACTGTGATGTACTCTAAAGCTGAATGCTGACGTCATTGTCAAATCAGAAATCATGTTTTCATGACCTCAGTATTGATGGCTATCTTACGTGAACTATTTAGGCATTACTTTAATTGATATGGAACAATCACATTATACCTCAGAGAGATCGTCACGATAAACATGGTCACTACATTAAGATAGCATGAAGATTTGAAGTTTCTCAGCAGTTACTGTAAATAGAATTTTATTTGGTGATTGAATTACATACAGGTTAGGAAAGGAGAAATTTAGAGCATTGGTCATCCACAATTATAGACAAAATTTTGGAAAAATCACAGTGTTATACAGTAATATTAACTGATGACGTTTCGAGCACAATTTATTGCTCATAATCATATCAAGTTACTCACATAACTTTCTAATTTCGCTTGACTCGATTGGTAGTAGCATTTTCCATATTTCCGGTATGAGTGATTCCTATTCTACGTGTTGGGTGTAGACTCTGTGACCCGGGATTCAGTAATCAACCTCTCTGTCCACATACCTATATTACTCTTTTAGAATTTTGACCCTCTCCCACCCAATTGCGTGGTCGTGTGTTAATGCATGCAGTGCTATCGTTTATCTTCGTGGGATCAATCTTTCTTTTCTTATGTTCTGATAATCACACTACACCTGATCTACTAGCTTGACCTATGTAGTTTATCTCAGTCACTGCAATGATTGAATTTAGCTAAGATTAGAATGATTGATCCTACGAACATAAGCGATAGCACTGCATGCATTAACACACGACGACACAATAGGATGGGACACGGTCAAAATTCTAAAAAGTTATTTAGGTAGGTAGACTACTGAATCCTGGATCATAGAGTCTACACTCAACACATGCTCAACATAAATACCAGAGATATGGAAGATATTATTACCAGTCAAATCAGAGGAAAATGATACATAATGTTAAAATGTACTCAATTCATACTATAACAAGTTACTTATTTTTACTATAAAGACATCTTATTTCCCGTCTTATTGTATTTTATTTCCGAATGTACTTTATATTGATTTTATTCAAATGTCTAATCAATTTTTACTCATGTATATAAATGAAGCAAGAAAGTTGTGTGAGTGCCTTGATATGATTATGAGCAATAATTTGTACTCGAAACGTCCCCAGTAAATATTACTGTATAACACTGTGTGATTTTATCACAATAAAATTTTATCCATAATGAAGGTATACTCTACCAGAGTGCCTAAGTCTCAATAATACATTGGTTATGCACTTCATCACCTATTAGGCGAAATTTTCAGAAATCATAGTAGATGGGTGCATTCACCATAAAAAGGATAGCTTATTAGCTGAATACATTATGAACCATATTTACTATCTTATGTCCTACAACTTATCTCCTTGGCTATTAAGACTCTAAATAAGCTTAATTAAAGTTCGTAAACATCGCATTGTTTAGTTTAAACCCAGAGATTCTCACTAAACGAAAGCAGAACTCATAAATTCAAGGGAGTTGATTTACTTCACCGCATACTACTGAGAAACGAATGAGCTATATCACAAACGGATTAATTGTTTGAAGTGTAAGCCTGGATACAGCCTTAACTCTATTTTGCAATTTTTTATCTACTAAGAAAAATCATAATCATATCAAGTTAATCACACAACTTCCTAAATTCATTTATATAGTTCCATTGTTTTTCACTTGATTTGATTGGTAGTATTATTTTCCATATTTCAGGTATGAGTGATGATTCATTCCTATTGCATGTGTTGGGTGTAGATTCGATGAACAAAGATTCAGTAATCAACCTCTCTCTCCACCTACCTAGATTACTTTTTAGAATTTTAACCCTCTCCCACCCTATTGTGTGGTTGTGTGTTAATGCATGCATTGCAATTGCCGAGCTTTTTTCTAAATTACTTATCTTCTCTGGGTCAACCATTCTTACCTTAGCTAAATTCTTATGTTCTGACAATCTGACCTACTAGTTTGACCTATGTAGTTGACTTAACTCAGTCATTGCAGGGTATTTTGTAAATTATATTATTTTGTCTAATTGGGTCCACTGGGTCCTTTAACCTACAGAGCTTGTCCCTGAGTGAGTTTGTAGGTTTAGATGTCACCCTAATTCCTGCTTTATTCAGAATCCTACGTAGGGTCTCAGATGTCCCTTCTTTATATGGTATAACTGTCGATGACTTATATTCTCTCTTATTTATGTTATTATTATTAGTTTCACAATTCTTTTTATTTTTCTTTTGGCGTTTTTCCATCTTCCTAATGAATTTTAGAGGATAGTTATTTAAAACCAACGCCTCTTCTATCTGTTTTATTTCATCATTTAGGTCTTTTTTTGTGCTACTTAGTGCCATTGCTCGGTTTGTTAAACACTTAACTAAGCCTGCCTTAACAGTTAAAGGATGAGATGAATTAAAGTCTAAATATCTATTAGAATGCGTTGGTTTTCTACTACTCCTACTCCAAAGATATGGTGGAGAAATGTGGATGACACTTTCACAGTGTTAAAAACAGAACATATCTCTAGCTTCTTGACACACATAAACTCACTAGTGGAGGGAATAATGTTCACATTTGAAGCTGAAAATGAGCAAGGAGAATTAGCTATGTTAGATTGTAAAATAAAACGAATAGAAGAAGGCAAACTACACACTAGTGTTTATAGAAAACCAACGCATTCTAATAGATATTTAGACTTTAATTCATCTCATCCTTTAACTGTTAAGGCAGGCTTAGTTAAGTGTTTAACAAACCGAGCAATGGCACTAAGTAGCACAAAAAAAGACCTAAATGATGAAATAAAACAGATAGAAGAGGCGTTGGTTTTAAATAACTATCCTCTAAAATTCATTAGGAAGATGGAAAAACGCCAAAAGAAAAATAAAAAGAATTGTGAAACTAATAATAATAACATAAATAAGAGAGAATATAAGTCATCGACAGTTATACCATATAAAGAAGGGACATCTGAGACCCTACGTAGGATTCTGAATAAAGCAGGAATTAGGGTGACATCTAAACCTACAAACTCACTCAGGGACAAGCTCTGTAGGTTAAAGGACCCAGTGGACCCAATTAGACAAAATAATATAATTTACAAAATACCCTGCAATGACTGAGTTAAGTCAACTACATAGGTCAAACTAGTAGGTCAGATTGTCAGAACATAAGAATTTAGCTAAGGTAAGAATGGTTGACCCAGAGAAGATAAGTAATTTAGAAAAAAGCTCGGCAATTGCAATGCATGCATTAACACACAACCACACAATAGGGTGGGAGAGGGTTAAAATTCTAAAAAGTAATCTAGGTAGGTGGAGAGAGAGGTTGATTACTGAATCTTTGTTCATCGAATCTACACCCAACACGTGCAATAGGAATGAATCATCACTCATACCTGAAATATGGAAAATAATACTACCAATCAAATCAAGTGAAAAACAATGGAACTATATAAATGAATTTAGGAAGTTGTGTGATTAACTTGATATGATTATGAGCAATAAATTGTGCTCGAAACGTCATCAGTAAACATTACTGTATAACACTGTGAGACTCTATCAAAATAAAATTTACCCATAATGGAATTACACTCTACCACAGTGCCCAAGTTTTATTCTTATATTAAGAAAAATCAGTTCATCGACAGCCATTTACTCTATCTCCACACAAGTAACGAAATAATATTTTAGTACATTACTTACTGTTTAAAACTAGATCTGCGTTTAATAAAGAGTGATAATAACAGCAGAAAGTGCAAACATAATCCACAGATTAGTCGGTCGCTTTTCGACATAGAACTTTGCACATATGTGCGGTAGTTCAAGTCGCCATACTCCATGTAGCACACAAAGCAAGGGAAGAAAGTAGGAGAAATGCATAGTATAGACAGTAAACAGGGGTGTGAGACAAAGGAATAGTAATAACGAAGAACAAAACAGTTTCATTGGAAATCATAAGTCACAAGGAGTGGATGCATCTGTGCCACTGAGAACGATTTTGAGCCATGTCACCAATTGTTTTTCAACCATTGGTTTTTACCGTCCCGAGGACCCCAACCAGGAAGTCTACATCTTCCTGCTGTCACTTAATCGCTTTTATTAGATAAATTTACTCAGTAATTAAATTATACTCTACCATAATTCCCGGTTTTATTTTTCTATCAATAAACTCATGATTAATGACTGCAAAACAGTTTATAAAAAAAGTCTGTGAGTTTGTAAGAAATAAAGTGAAGCATGACATTTATTTTGATTTCGAGAATAAGTAAGTCTTTATACTCCTAAACGACTGCAATCTGGAAACTTAGAAGTACTGCAGTCAGATCTCAAAAGCTGAAGTGTTATGCCAAGCAGTAACAATCGATGATAAAATATGTCCGGAGTATTATATTTTTCCGACATATAAATTGAGTAGAGTGTATTTAATAGAAAGATAATTTCAGGTGAAACAGAGAATTTCATTTTAACAGAATCAACAGTCTATCTTCCAGTAGACTTTTTATAAAATCAACCTCCCATGATAACAATATACCAGATTAGATAGGTACATAAGGCTCATTATTTTTGTAATGGGTTAGAAATAGAATAAAAAGAACTACCATGGTAATAACTACGAGAAAAAACTGCATGATTTAATTTTTTCCGAAATTAGCTATACATAAGATGTTCAGTAGAAAGTATTGTACAGTATTCTTGGCTGAGTTAACAAACAGATTAGTACATTTAAATGACTACAAGATAACCCAGTTTCACCCGGCTACTTACATTTCTTCGGTATGATATTAATTTGCGGTCGCAGTGAGCGTGCATATACACCTAATAGTTTAGCTACAGCCAGTGAGAAGAAGTGAGAAAAAAATAATTTCAGACATATTGACGCAATAAAATTGAATACTGGTGTGCTGGACCTCCGATGTTTCAATGCAATATCTTGCCAAAAATGAAAATGAAAACCGAACGGTGTTAGATGAACTGAAAATGTATATTATTATCGACAGATAATATTAGGAACTGTACAGTTCTGCATTTAGATTATAAGGTAATAGGAGCAATGTTACAGTAGTTGAAACAATCAGATGAAGTTATGTGGTCCGCATGTACAAAATTTGATAAACCCTGTTTCATCTTTCTGTGTATCCAAATTCACAGGAATCCCTAAAACAGAACATAGGAATAATCAGTAACATAGGGTTAGTATGAGGACAAAATTCTAACCAAATGAGTGTGACGAAAATAGTTATCAAAGATTATTCATTAAATAACAAACCTAATCTAATTCAAGAACTAAATGTTGCATAGAAAAAAGCAGTAGTAGTAGCAGTATCAAATCAACATTCAGCAAAAGACGGATTTCTTCTTAGTAGAAATTTCTATCTGGAATAATACATACATCCTACTAGTCTCAAGGGCAAAGATAAACGAAATCTTGCCTGGATCAGTCATCTAGACTTAAAAATCTAGGAAAATTGCAACATATACAGAGGAAAGTAAAACCATATTAAGCAAGTTCTGAAATTGCATGACATAATTATGAGTGATAAATTGTATAGAAAATATCCCCATTTAAACATTTGGAAAACACAAAAGATTGAGCGAAGAAATATTTACTTTTCAATTAGATCCTCTTCTCTGGCTCTACTCTAATATATATAGCATTTTTACAATACACAACAATTTACCAAACAAGTGGTGATATGTTTGTTAACAATATTTAAACAGTGTCAAAATGTCAATGGGTAGATAATTAACGCAGAAAATCAATACACATTTAAAAAGTAGAAATGGATAGAATAAATTAATTTTACAAGGATAACACGTAATTAAAGATGAAGTGGTCAAAATAAAAATAAAATAATTTGGACAATTATAATTTAATAGGGGGAGGGGGGCGACGTAGTCCTGTCTTGTAAGGATGGCCACGGTAAGCAAAGTGGCTGTACAAATTTCTTCTGTACACACAGGCTTGGCTTCTTAAGGTGGATTCCGATTGCTTCTGCTGTCTGTAGAAGACGAACTCGTAGAGCAAAGTTGAGATTAGTCGGAATGCGATAAATAATTTTGAATGCAGTATTCACATCAACCTTGTGCTCAGTATCAACAAGGTGTGCTAAAATAGAACTCCGAATAGATTTTGTTTGTCCCTTGCTTAACCACGCTGGATGATGTTCAGAAATACGACGATGAAACTGCCTAATTGTACGCCCAATGTAGCTGGCTCCGCAGCTGCAGTCAAACTGGTAGACACACATAGAAGAGGCAAAATTAGGTAGTTTATCCTTATTTCTCGAACATAGAATAGGGGTGGTTTTGAAGAGACAACGTACTTCTGCTGCATAATAAGCTCTTTTAACTGCATTCTTCAAGCGCTGTGTTATGATTTCACTGATGTTGTCACCGAGGAACTGCAATTTTATGAACATTGGCTTTTTCGAAACTGTAGCAATACTGACTCTCTTTGGTGCTGAATTCATATTCTTCTCAATAAATTTATCTGGATAACCATTTTTTCTAAGTAATTCTTTAATAATCTTAAGCTCCTCATTGAGGCAGTCGTCTGAACATATTAACTTAGCTCTATGGACCAGACACTTTACCAGGTTACGTTTATATTTCAAAGGTACAAAACTCAAAAAATGAGTGTACTGACCTGTTGTTGTAGGTTTCCTATACACACTCCTTCTTAGTGTGCCATCATCTTTCCTTGCCATGAAGACGTCTAGGAATGAGATACTATCATTACTTTCTTTCTCTATGGTAAAGTTTATTGCTGAATGTGCATCATTAAACTTGTCAAGGATATTCATTGCATCATTCTCGTCTTTCATAACCACAAATGTGTCATCCATATATCGACAGTAGAAATCCATGTCATTAATTACTCCTTTCAGTGGTCCATTCTCTAATTTAGCGAGGAAAAAATCAGCTAGGATTGGACCTAATGGGGAACCCATAGCTACACCATCAATTTGCCTGTAATATTCCTTATTGAATAAGAAATGAACATTCATTGTACATCTTAAAATAAGTTCCTTCAAGGTGGATATAGAAATCCCGATGTCTATGTTTCGTGTAGTAATCTCCTCACATATAAAATCCACTGTCTTCATCAATGTACCGTTAATGGAGACAGTGGATTTTATATGTGAGGAGATTACTACACGAAACATAGACATCGGGATTTCTATATCCACCTTGAAGGAACTTATTTTAAGATGTACAATGAATGTTCATTTCTTATTCAATAAGGAATATTACAGGCAAATTGATGGTGTAGCTATGGGTTCCCCATTAGGTCCAATCCTAGCTGATTTTTTCCTCGCTAAATTAGAGAATGGACCACTGAAAGGAGTAATTAATGACATGGATTTCTACTGTCGATATATGGATGACACATTTGTGGTTATGAAAGACGAGAATGATGCAATGAATATCCTTGACAAGTTTAATGATGCACATTCAGCAATAAACTTTACCATAGAGAAAGAAAGTAATGATAGTATCTCATTCCTAGACGTCTTCATGGCAAGGAAAGATGATGGCACACTAAGAAGGAGTGTGTATAGGAAACCTACAACAACAGGTCAGTACACTCATTTTTTGAGTTTTGTACCTTTGAAATATAAACGTAACCTGGTAAAGTGTCTGGTCCATAGAGCTAAGTTAATATGTTCAGACGACTGCCTCAATGAGGAGCTTAAGATTATTAAAGAATTACTTAGAAAAAATGGTTATCCAGATAAATTTATTGAGAAGAATATGAATTCAGCACCAAAGAGAGTCAGTATTGCTACAGTTTCGAAAAAGCCAATGTTCATAAAATTGCAGTTCCTCGGTGACAACATCAGTGAAATCATAACACAGCGCTTGAAGAATGCAGTTAAAAGAGCTTATTATGCAGCAGAAGTACGTTGTCTCTTCAAAACCACCCCTATTCTATGTTCGAGAAATAAGGACAAACTACCTAATTTTGCCTCTTCTATGTGTGTCTACCAGTTTGACTGCAGCTGCGGAGCCAGCTACATTGGGCGTACAATTAGGCAGTTTCATCGTCGTATTTCTGAACATCATCCAGCGTGGTTAAGCAAGGGACAAACAAAATCTATTCGGAGTTCTATTTTAGCACACCTTGTTGATACTGAGCACAAGGTTGATGTGAATACTGCATTCAAAATTATTTATCGCATTCCGACTAATCTCAACTTTGCTCTACGAGTTCGTCTTCTACAGACAGCAGAAGCAATCGGAATCCACCTTAAGAAGCCAAGCCTGTGTGTACAGAAGAAATTTGTACAGCCACTTTGCTTACCGTGGCCATCCTTACAAGACAGGACTACGTCGCCCCCTCCCCCTATTAAATTATAATTGTCCAAATTATTTTATTTTTATTTTGACCACTTCATCTTTAATTACGTGTTATCCTTGTAAAATTAATTTATTCTATCCATTTCTACTTTTTAAATGTGTATTGATTTTCTGCGTTAATTATCTACCCATTGACATTTTGACACTGTTTAAATATTGTTAACAAACATATCACCACTTGTTTGGTAAATTGTTGTGTATTGTAAAAATGCTATATATATTAGAGTAGAGCCAGAGAAGAGGATCTAATTGAAAAGTAAATATTTCTTCGCTCAATCTTTTGTGTTTTGATAAATTGTACTCGAAACATTATCCAGTTGTTAATACTGTATCAGTGTTATATCAGATAAACTAATCTAATATGGAGTTATATTTTACCACAGTGCCCAAATCGGACTGATACATTCATTGAAAACTGGGGAAAATGATAGCCCCAGAAAACAGGGTTCCAGAGTAGGCGGATAAGAACGATATTAGTGTTTATGTGACAACGATCGACAATGTTGAAACTTACTTTACTTGAGGCTGTCGAGGGAAAACAGCAGAACGGACATTGCAATTGCTTGGTTGGATCAAGATACGTTGATTTGTTAATGCTGGTGTGCTTGATAAACGGATTCCAGATGATATAGGAGAAGTTACCGATTTTATAACGTTGCCAGAAGTGTTGGGAGCATTTCCAGAACTAACAACTTTTAAAGAGCGATTTGTTACAGACACATACTTCGCATGTGAACCAAGTGACGATGAACGCTGGGAAGCAAACGATACGAAAGGAGTAGGTGATGCACATACTGATGAGTTTGTTACAAGAGAGCTGCCTCGACTTGGCCGTTGTACAACAGATATGTTGTTGGTGCTCACAGGAGATGAAGTAGGCAAACGTGTATTCGAAGTGATTGTTGGAGGTGAACCAGGATTACTTACATTGGATTTCAGAGTGATGCTTGATGTATTCACTAGCCGTGGTGAGGTTTCACCATCGCTACCGATAGGGGTAACAGAAATGCTTGTTTTTGCTGCGATGGATATGTTGTAATGTAACTTCGGGCAGGTTATTGTAAGCGGTGAATGACTAGGAGTAGTCTCACAGTGACTCTGTTCTGCTTGGTCGTCAGGACTAAAGGGTTCCTCCTAAAATAAGAAAATAATTAAACGATTACCTTCAGAACGTAAACATATAGAGATTATCATTCTTGAAAGCGAAATTAATCATTTCGCTTTGTTAATTGACTTATTTCCAGATAGATGTTAATGAAATGTGTATTTATCAGTTTACTTGTTCCTGTGGAGCAAAGTATATCGGCCATACGCAATGTCAAGTCCGAAAACGTATTCTGGAACATTGTCCAGCTTGGGTGGCCGGAGAAGAAAGGAAGAATACTGATAGCTCCGTCCACCAACACCTTGTCAACTCTGGACATCGAGTGCCCCACACGAATGCTTCACAGTGCTACACAGAGTCCCTCAATATCACACGAAAGGAATTCGAATACGCCATCTGTACATAGCTGAATCATTGGCTATTTGGGATCTGAAACCGGACCTTTGCATTAAAAAGCACCACATACATTCACTCACCCTACTGTGGTCAAAGAAACCTCACTATAATTTTGCTTTCTCTTATTACGCAAGTTTACTATCAATGTTATTATTCTCATCATCCTCATGTATTATCCGTCTACTACCGTTTATCAATAACATTGCGTTTCCATACAGACTTTACAAAAACACTTTATAGTTTTTCCACTAGTTCCAGTCTTCAACAGTCATTTTTTCACACATTACATCACTACAACTTACGCCCCTTTTCTAATGTCCAATTAGTCACTCCATCTAAACTACACCTTACATTAGGTAATACGTTTCTGAGGACAAATTTTCCCAGTATCTGATTGGTCTTATGAATTCTTTGTTAAATATAATTACGATTGTACAGCTTATGAAAATGAATCGTCGGAAAGGGAATTTTCTTCGATGTTTACATCTTTTTCTTATGTTAGTAAAAGTAACTAGGAATTGATTTTATTGAGAACATTATTCGAATTCTTCAGTTCTGAATAAATGTAATCAAATGAATAAATCTGTAATTAACGATACAAGAAAAGAATAGTTCGGTAATATTGTCATCTAATTATTTGATGGTTTTCCCAGCTTATTAGCCTAAATAAGGTAATTACCAGACAGTGATCCAGAGTATTTATCATACATATCATAGTTTTGAGATTTTAAATGTGCCAATGAAGTAGGATAGTGTGGTCTCATGCTGCATGATAATAATAAGCCACATTTAGTTTTGGATTTGAGAACATTGTAAGGTTTTGTCACTCTAGATTGTCTTAGAATACAGTTCCAGTACACGTTTAGTGATGTCAGTAATGTTAGTACACACAGTTCGGATTGGTTTTACAGATTTATACATTCATAACGACGGTTCTACCTTGATTACTTTTTTCTTGTCTGTGAATTAGGATGTGTGGCACGAAGGCTTATGGCAAGTCATGAATAACTACAATATAGATAAAAACATAATTGAGGTTATTAAGTCTTTATATAACAAATCTAGTAGTACAGTATCTCTAAATAATCAAACTGGCGAGTTCTTCAGAACAACTATAGGAGTACGCCAAGGGTGCATTCTCTCACCAGTCCTCTTTAATTTATTCCTCGAACATATTATGACTCAAACCCTACATGACTTTACACCGACACTTAGCATAAACGGAAGACCAATTTCCAACCTCAGATTTGCTGATGATATAGCCCTCATTGGGGAAAACATTGATCAAGTTCAGGACCTCACCTCAAGACTTGATGTTGCAACCAAATCTGTGGGCATGGAAATCAGCACAGAAAAAAGCAAAATACTCATTAACGGAGGAAACAACTCAGATAGATGTATCAGACTTGATGGACATGTATTAGAAGAGGTTGAAACTTTCAAATACCTTGGGTCTACCCTAACAAAAGATGGAAGGTCCACTAAGGAAATAAAAATTCGACTAAACCTAGCCTCTGCCACCATGTCCAAGTTAGGGAAAATATGGAAGAGCAACATCAGCGTCTCAGCAAAAATGAAACTCTACTCGTCACTGGTCCTCTCTGTATTCCTATATGGATGTGAGAGCTGGACCCTGAATGCAGAGACAGAAAGAAGAATACAAGCCTTCGAAAACAAAAGCTATAGAAGGATCCTAGGAATAAGTTACCTTGAAAGGAAAACTAATGAATATGTCTTACACCAGGTCCATAGACTGGCAGGAAAACAGGAACCACTCCTTTCAATCGTAAAGAAACGGAAACTACAATGGTTCGGCCACACGGTAAGACATGACACATTGTCCAAAACGATTCTACAAGGCACAGTAGGAGGAGCACGAAAGAGAGGTCGACCGAATAAGAGCTGGCTTGACAACATAAAAGAGTGGACTGAAATGCCCTTGGATACGCTACAGAAAATAGCATTAAACCGAGAAGAATGGCGAAGACTGATAGCGCGAACTGTCATAGCACCCCCACGACGAAAGTCAAGGGACTGATGATGATGATGAATTAGGATGTGCCACACTAACTGTCTAAGGATTATTGATTGTAACCTGCGACTCTATAGTTAATTAAGACGTAAAATTTGACTTACATTCTCCTCTACTGGGATAGGATACAACGGTGGTGAGGAATCATCGAGAACCGACTCTTCTTTACGACCTAAAAATGTAAGCCAGATTAAAATCAGAGAGGGCGTGTACACAACATTTTAGAAACACAATTGCTTAGGTGAAAACATTTAAACCGATATGTATATTACCTTCTAGAATAACTGATTTGTATTAGTAATACTCCCCGACTATAGAGTTACTGGTTGAAACAGTGTATTTTCTCTGAAACATCTATGTAGCCAATAAAAGCGAGACTAATGAACACGAAAACTGGGGTAATATTTTTTGTATAAGATAGCATATGAAGACCTGGGTTTCAGCACAGATGCGTAGCAGTTCAAGTTGGAACTCTCCATGTAGCACACAAAGGTAGACAAACGAGAGAACAAAGGAATTCAAAAGTACTCTAATAAGCAGAAATGTGAAGAAAGAATAGTAAGATGGAAAGAGATTAGGAACTAATGGATCTGGGAAGTCACAATAAGTGAATGTGTCTGCACCACTGACAACAATTTCAAGCCATATCATTATTAATCTCCAGCCATTGATTCTTAGCATCCTGAGGACCCCAACTAGGCGGTCTACACCTGCCTACGTGGCTCAAACCAACAGTCAAAGACTTTATGAACTGATAGCGGGTTTCGGCTTGACCTCCTCTAACTCTTTTCCAATCCAATTCTATGTCGGTCAACATTGTTTGCAAGGGAGAAGGTGACTCACCATGGGCAACACGTGTTCTGGTCATTTCAATCCATATAACTTCACAACTTCATCGATTGGCCTACCCTCCTCACCTAACACTGTGTTTAACCTAAATATTACTCACCATATTATACTACTTAACACGGGTGATAGAACGCAAACATCTGTGGTTGTCAGAGACGACTGGCCTTTCATATCTTCCACTTTCAGTGATCATGTCTGGCAGCCATAGAGGAGAACAAAGAGGACTAGTGCTCCGTACGCATGCCTTTTGATCAGAAGCTGGCTGTCAAATGTACACCAGCAACGAGATAGGTTGACAAGTGCCTTTGTACGATTGAAAACGTACCACTTGATATAACCATACATCGAACCAAGCTTCTGTGGAGTTTAATGAATCCGATCTGTCTGGCGGTTACAAGCGATACATAGGAAAGCAGAATGAGAAAAGTCAGAAGAGAAATCACCGTTTGTGATCATCTAACAAAGAGTAATCTAATGATAGAAGATTGGTGCCATGTACCTGCCATATATTTGGAAGTATAGTAAATTCTCTATCCACTAACACAGTACTAATGTACTCATTACATCGATAGTGTTAGCTACAGATGCATAGAAAAGGATAGATCTCAGAAATGCATTAATGTCACTACACATTAAAAATACATCCAGGAGGCGAAGGAAGGATATTAAAATAGACAAGTGTGTGAGCAGAGAGAGTAGTTGGTTGGCATGTGAAATGGAAATTAGCAAACTAGTATTCCTTTTTATGCTTATATGTGATGAAGTAGTTGCAAATTACACATCAATTTTGTCTTCAAGTGTCATATTTCATCGTAAGGCAACAGAACATTACGGTTGTGGATATTCTACCGAAAATGAGAGACATGCATATGCTTGAATGAACTATTAACCGTCAGGCATTAAACTGAGAACACAGTTAATGGGGAAATAACTATCTTAAAGAGAATGTGAATAACTGTTATCATAGTCATCTTCACAGTACTTTTAGAGTTGCAAAGTAGTCGCAGAAAGTTTTATGGAATGAGGACTAGTACTTGCGAGGGATTTGGAGGCATAGGAGAACCTAACCCGTGAACTTGTATTTAATGACTGGGACAGTTTTACCTTTTAGGCGAATGCTGCAGACTGATGTGTGTAATTTTAGGGAAAGATACCTATTTTCTATGCACCACAAACATATCTTATGTGAGTGGGCAGTTTCGAGTGTATTTCTCCACAAACAAGTCATACAGTCTTGAACTTAGGGTAACTGAAAGCTGACTGAGTTTCAACGAAAAACTTTACACAGAAATGGAAGTTTAATTTATCACACTCTATGTGGAACAAAATGGTAGAGACAAAAAATGCAAAAGAACCATAATAAGCAGAAATGCGAGGCAAAAAGAACTGTAAAATGGAAAAACATGGATATAGGGGACTACGGTAAATGAAATATTCTATTACTCTCAAAATAAAAAGCCAGCATGTAGCTACTGTCCTAGTTATCTATAATTAGAGCGTGAAGGACGATCATACTTACAATTGCCTAAGTTAAAATAAGTATATTAGGGATGAAATCGTTATGCTGCAGATGCAATTAATACATAATCAAAAGAACGGGAATAATTTTATGGAAGGGACTGATGCATATTAGAGTTTACTGATACATTACTGAATAATAATAATAAAAGCACTTAGGAATCTGAGAGGATGCTAATCAAAGTAACAGATGGGACAAGGTAGTTATGGAAGAACTTTGGAAAATAAGCAATATGAACATGATTGGAATCATTAAGTACCAAACCTTGATTATGCTTTACAAGAACTTACAAATAGCCGAGTGGGAACTTCTGACTTTCTTTGTATCTTGATAGTTGTTTTCAGACGGGCTCATTGCACGTTTGTTTCCTCTACAAACTGAATTACTAAGGCAAGTGTTAACAGACAATGAAAACATACTCCTGTGTTTCCTTCAACTCACTCTTGAGGGAACTGATACATGACAGATGGCTGTTGACAAACTCATCTAGTAGTAAACTGCATTACAGATGAACGAATTTAAAAAAGACTAACTTCTTATCACTGGTAAGTTCATTTATAACATTGTGTAACTTAATAATTTCCAATTTAAGTGATTCATTTATCTTCAAGCATACTAGAAAACTAAGATTGGATGGACTTACCACAACTTGTTGCCGACATACGGTTTTTAACACCTCATATTTTTCCTCCAAAGTATCTTCAAGCATATCCAATATATGTTAATAAAAATACCTTGCTGTGATTCCGTCATTATATGGCAAATGACGTTTGTTTGAAAGTAGCCAGTCTAGCTGACCGGTATAAGACCGATTTCGAAGACAACAAGGTGATATATAGTGAATGGAGTTGACTTCGTAACGAAGTTCAAAACCGGATGCACAGAGTAATATGGACTTCATCATTAACACGGTACCATGTATGTGTATGTCTTCAAACTTGATGAAAACCATTTTCCAATTGTTTATTTTTACTAATTTTTATGAAAATCATATCTTCTACAAAATATTATTTGTTTTAGTTTATTTTGAATTTTGCGCCCTGCCGAAAGCGGGAGTCTAAAGTCACTTGGCAATGTCAATATATCAATTCGATTGTCGCTGCTGGTATGTTGGAATCTGACGTCTTTGTTTATTTTTTTTCCATAGCAAAATGATTCAGTGTTTTGTTTTGTCTAGGGTTAGCTTTCTTCGTAGACACTTAATTTCGTATTAGTCATTAATAGAGAATCTATAAGCCGTATATGTCGACGTTCATATACATGCAAAACCTAGTGATTGTGGCAGTATGTAATCCCCTATTGTTGTTTCCCAAGATTCGTGCGTTACAACTGATAATAAACTAATCAAATGTAAGCAGATTGCCTTCAAAGCCTCCATAGTAAAGCTGATTTATATCATTAATAAATTATAGTTGCATTTCAATAGTTTACACACAATGATAAGCTTTTGCTTTTGTTAATACATTTGGCACATACACGTTTTTACCATGTGACATGTATTGTGTCACTTTTCCGAAATGCTTAAACATTTAAGTTGCTTTCCTACCACGAGTCTTTTTAATTGAATGGACGTCTGATACATCGTCATCTAGGTTTTGGATGTTGCTTTCAGATTCAGATTTATTGGTTGAGGATAGAAGGCTTGGAGCCTATGTTAATCCTTTTCTAGTAAATTTCTGTGGTTGTCCAAACCCTTCTTGAACGAATCAACTGAGGTTGCAGACACCACTTCTTCTGGGAGTCGATTCCAAGAGTTTATGACTCGGTGTGAGAACCAGTACTCAACAGCAATATGATTTCTTCTTGGCTTTTGAACTCTCCTGCTATGTCCTCTGATTCAGATTCAGTTGATAAGGATAGAAGGCTCTTGTGGCCTGTGTTAATCCTTGCAAAATATATCTCTGCAGAGATCTAACTTCTCTTTGAAAGCGTTCACCGATGGAGCTGTTACTACTGAATCAGGTAAGGAGTTCCAGTCGTTGACCACTCTATGAGAGAATCTAAATTCTGCACGTATTTTAATCGTCCTCGGTTTGAGCACCTTTTTGCGGTGACCCCGTAAATGTATCCTAGAAGGAGAGAAAAGTTTAGAAAGGTCAGTTCCTAAATCACCCTTAAGTATACGGTAAGCCAAAATTAGGTCGCCTCTCTTCCTTCGGTATGATAACGGAAAGAGATTTAGATGTTCCAGCCTCTTATCATAAGGAAGGTGTGAGATACCACTAACTAGTTTCGTTCCTACTCTCTGTACTTTTTCCAGGATATATGCCTCCTTTTTGAAGCATGGACCCGCAGCTTGTACGCAGTATTCTAGATGAGGCCTGACATAGGTTGCGTAGAGTATTTGGAACATGCCCTCATCTAATCGTTTGAAAGCCCTACGGAGTGCCCATAGCATTCGAAAAGCCTTAGCTGCGGCTGCATTGCAGTTTGCAGTTGTTTTCAAATCATTGCTGACAATGATTCCTAGGTCCTTCTGTTCGTTAACATCAGGTAGTTCTGTGTCCCCTAGGGAGTATGACGTATAAGACTTCTGACCTAAGTGCATTACTGCGCTTTTCCTAGAATTCGTTTCCAAACTCCACAGGTTCGACCACTCAGCTAATTTATCTAGATCAGTTTGTAGGGCCGACCTATCCTCGCTATTGTTTACAGTTTTCCATATCTTAATGTCGTCTGCAAATAACAATGAAGATGAAGTAAGAATCCCTGGTAGCTCATTAACATATAATAGGAATAGCAAGGGGCCTAATACAGTTCCCTGGGGCACTCCACTGGATACTGCTTTCCACCCTGATAGTACACCATTAACTCTAACCTTCTGCCTTCTATCCATTAGGTAATCCCTAAACCACTCACATAGGCATTGGTCTAGTCCGAAACCTTTAAGTTTACTAAGGAGACCTAAGTGGGATACTTTGTCGAATGCCTTGCTAAGATCAATAAAAACCACGTCCAACAGAAGGTTTTTATCTCTGGCCTCGACCCAATCTTCCCTAGCTAACAGTAAGTTTGTTAAGCAGGATCGTCCTGGTCGGAATCCATGCTGTTCAACTGCCAGTAAGCCATGTGTTTCAACATAAGCTAATAGCTGATCCCTTATAATAGTTTCCATTACCTTTGCTATAATGCATGTTAGACTTACCGGCCTGTAGTTAGATACCAATTGCCTGTCCCCCTCTTTGAATATAGGGCTTATAATGGCATCCTTCCAGTCCCTGGGTAGCTTAGCCTGGGTCAGTGACATTTGGAAAATCTCCGCGAGTGGAATATATATTATATCCGCCAAGGAAATTAATAATTTAGGGTGAAGTCCATCAGGCCCAGGTGATTTACCTGGTTTCAGTTTAGACAGTAGTTTGAGGACTTTTGTGTGCTCTACCACAATTGAGGGCATCTGAGTGGCGATGGCAGTAACCTCGCCATATCCCTGGGTGGTACTATCAGACGAGAAGACGTCACAGAAGTATTCAGAGAGGTTTTCAGCCTTTCCTTCGTCTGACTCAGCCGTTTCTCCACTAATGCTTATGAGTGACGGTATACCATTGCTAGTTTTAGTCCTACGTTTAATATACGAGAAGAGCCTTTTTGGGTAGTGAACACTATCTAGCACAAGCCGTCTCTCATATTCTATACGACTCTTGTTAATCGCATACTTACAGAGATTTCGAATTTTGCGGTAGTCTTTCTGGAAATCTTCCCTTCCTGTCATAATAAATTGGTCCCATAAGTTCTTTCGCCGTCTTAATAGCCTCCTTATTTCACTAGTAATCCAAGGTGGCTTGTGCGATAGCTTTCGAGGAGTGTACCAAGGTATAAAAGGTGAAGTGACACAATCTAGTGTATTTCTAAATCCTACCCAAGCTTCCTCGACAGTCCGACTTGTATCTACTGACCAGTCAACTGAAGTTGCTGCGTTCCGGATTCATTGTATATCCGCTTTCCAAATGTTTGGACGAGCAGATTTTGACCTGTGTATGAGAGAATGAATCTTAAACGTAAAAACAATGACTATGTGGTCACTGCTGCCAAGCGGTGGAAGGCACCTAATGTCACCAACGTCCTCCTTCTGGTGTGTTAATATCAAGTCTAGAGTAGATGGATCATGTTCCGGGTGATACCGTGTTGGTGCATGCATATGTTGCACGAGTGCACATTCAAGCACTGTCAATGTTAACTCCCTATTGAAACAGGTATACAAACTAGTGGAGTTTAATTCCCCCCAGTTAATGTGTGGAGCATTAAAGTCGCCAACAACCAGACACCTATTTCTACTACCCCACGCCCTCAAGTGATTTAGAACGAAGTCATCAGCTTGGCTAGCAGGACTTCTGTAAATAACTCCGATCGTTAAAGTGCCTTTGCTCAGATTAATAACGCAACTTGCAGCCTCACTGGTGCCGCTGTCATGAGCTTCTGACAACGTTGACGTAATCCCTATGTCATCGCGGATGTATAGAGCAACCCCACCACCTTTCCGACTACTTACTCTATCTGCTCGAATACAGATGTACCCAGGTATGAGTGGAGTTAAGTCCACACCCACTAACAACCATGTCTCAGTGATAGCAATCACATCAGGTTGTAGTCTTTCAGATAACTCTCCTAATTCGGCGAGTTTATTCCTAAGACTACAAGCGTTCGTATAGCACACCGAGACACCTACGTGTTCATCCGGCTTATGAAGAGAGGTCTCAGCAGCATCGGTTTCCGAGACCTCACCACCCGAAAACCCAATATCTTGAGGTCTTTTTCACCTTTCTCTAGTCTGGCCTTTAGTTCAGCCACGGCTTCTCCTCTTTTGATTCTATCTTCTAAAGGCCAATCAGGCCTTATTTTTAAGCTTTTATCGTTAATTTTGAACGCGTTGTTGAGGATGGTGCTTTTCTCTGTTTCATTCCCTAAAACTATCTTAAGTAGTCGTCGAGAAGTTTCCGTAGCATCAGGGTTTCGTTTTCCGATCCTGATGGCTTTTCTTACGTGAACTCCAATTGTTTTTTCGGGAAGTATTTCCCGGATTATGGAGCTAACCGCCTTCAGATCATCTGCATGTCGGGCAGCTGGATCTGTGTTCTTAGATTCCTCCAAATTCCAGATGATAACACTGTAACTGGAGTCCGTAGGTTTCTGAGTTTGGCTGGTACTAACAGCCATCGAGACCTTGTTGGTGAACTCGGTTGCTGTTTCTTTCCTTTGTTCATTTTGCTTCTTACCTGACGGCACCAACCAAGTGGAGTCAGTTTCTTCCACTTTGTTTTCGCCGCGACTAGAGGCCATTCGTGCACTAGACACGCTGCGCTTTGGGGTGGCCATTTCACAGGCTGGTGTTGCCATGCTGGCACTACTTGCCCTTTTAGATTTCCTTTGCCGTTTGCGCTTAGTCGCTACAGACATTTGAGCACTCTGTGCCTCTTTTGCCCCCTGAGCTACAGGTGGCGATACAACTTCGGTTTTAAAATTATGTCCTGAACCGCCATTTTTGGCTATGATTTCTGGTACAGGCTTCTCTAAGGTGTTCCGACCTGGTGGGAAGGAAAAGAGAAAATAGGTCAGGTCCGTAGTCATTATTACAGTGATGTGAGGTAATTTTGAATTAACGGTGCAGGTTTGGATCAAAGACGCTATGTTCATAATAAGAAAAAGTTTACTTAAGAGAAACTGACATTTCGGTGTATGCTATAGAATTTAATCATCGATGAACAGACCACATATCTATTCTTCCAATGAATTCATGTTACCTCGATTTAATGTCTTAGTACTCCTTGCTGCTTGACTTAAATTGCTAAAAAATAACTAGGTGATCGAGTGCTGAAAATAGTATTCATTGTGTTTTTACAGTAGTGATTGCTTAGTGTGAAGTATATGTCTGTAATAATGGCATGACGGTTCTTTTAGATCCCCACCAAGGTACATGTCTGCACTCAGGTGGTATCAATTACCTTGTGTATCAATTTGATTTCCATCTATCTGCGTCGCTGGATTCATGTTTAACGTATCTGTTCTTCAGCATCCGTCAATGATTCAGTCACAGCAATCAAAAGTAAACAGGCAATATACTATTGATGCA